ACACCTGCCTGCCCCCACCCCTCCCACACCTGCCACTCTGCTTCCTGTCAGTGTTCTCTTTCCACCTGTGGATTGGCTTGGACATCCCGCCCTGGTCCTCATTATCTCTGGGCGGTGGGGCCTGAGTGCTGCAGCACAGGGTTGTGTGGGGAGCGGCCTGCGTGTTCGACTCCAGTGCCCTGCAGCCCCGAGGGTTCTCACAGCTCTTCTCAGTCCTCAGCAAGGGGACTGCCTGTGTCTCATAACTGGTCTTAGCAGAGCTGTGAACAAGGGGTGGAGAAGCATTTTCTAAACACCTGACAGAGTTTTCCTGTCTTCAGTGGTCTCTGTAATACTTCCCTAAGAACTTATATGAAAATACCAATAGCATGTGTTTTTCAGTTAACGTTTTATACAAAGGACTTTCATTCATCTAAAACTAGCAACTTTAAAATGAGACTAATCAATAGTTATATGTAGTTTCTGAATAAAAGTTAGTATTATAAATGGTTTCAGCAGTGTTTGGGGAAGAGTTCATGGCAATGTCCTCATTCCTTGTGTGGTGCTGGCCATGCTGGTGTTGGACACAGGAGGGCGGTTGCTCCGCCCCACGTGAGCAGCCAGGTCCCGTGCCGGGTCCGCTGTCATTCCAAACACATTGTCAGGAAATTAAATTCCAGTGACACTTCCCACCTAACACTGGTCGCATGTGTTAGGGAAACCACACTGACAGGTCCTCAGTGGAGAAGACTCAGGTTTTAGGGGCGTGGTCCGAGGCTGTCACAGGCCAGCTCCGGGTCACTGCCACAGGGACCTCTCAACATCACTCCATCTGATGGGTACTCCTGACAGAGTGTCCTGACCACAGGGCAGGACAGCAGCAGCCTCTGCCCATCCTTGGCTGCCAGCTGACCATGTGCTGGTCTGATCTTTGTTCAGAGCACAAGCCGTCTGACTCCCTTTGGAGCAAGAGCTCGCAGAGCGGGGATGCGTTTAGCTCTGCACTGTGATGCCCCCAGCACCAGGACAGGCCCTGTGGAGGGAGTGCACTTGGCTCCAGGCTGCCTCTCTGCCCAGGTGGGGGTCACTTGTCTCCTCACTGCCTCACCTGTACCAGCTCCTTACGTTCTCCAGAGACTCACTGCCTTGGTTCCTTTAGTTCCAGAGCTGTGTTGCCAACGTTACTCGCTTTTGGAGTTGAACTCCTCCCTGTTTTCCAGGTGTTTCATGGAACCTTTAAACAACGAAGCGATGAAAACAACAAAAAGACACATTGACTAGACTATCTGGTTATTTGAAGACTTTGAAACTTTCCTAGTTTCTCGCAAGGACTGTGTAGCGTCGACAGCTTACTCCAAGGTGCACAGTGAGGAGCTAGAAATGGAGATTATCAGGACGGCCTGCCTGGAGGCGGTGGGTGGGGCTGGAAGGTACCCCTCTCTCATTTCTTTACTGAGGGATGGTGGCCTCCTCACCTCTGACGTCTGGTAGGACATGACACTGACGTCACAGGAGCCGGTGGAACACTGCTCTGTACCTGGCAGTACATTAGAATGAGCTCGGGAGGTGATTTAGACAAAGGGGAGCAGCTGTGTGCAAACTGTCACGTACCAAGAGACAGAGTCGACAGAGATGTCAGGTCTCGGGAGGAGCACCGTTGTCCTGACAACAGAGAAGTGCTCCTGTTAAGATCTTCATCATTTTATCAACTTTTCCTCTCGGGAATCCAGTGACTTGCTTAAATGTGTCATATGACATTTTAAAGTAGTGGCCAAGTTCAGGGAATCTTAGAATTCCCGTCCTGTTGCTCATCAAGCTTCCACTGGCTGTGTTGAACTTTGAAGGGACCCAGTTGTGGGCAGAGTCACTGTCCTGTGGTCATTTACTTCACGCAGGACCTGAAAATACCTGTTCTTCCTGGAATGAACAAAAGGATGGAGAACGAGCCCCATTTGCACACTTTGTTTTGTGAGTCGCCCCACTTCCTACCATCAAGTGTGCTCCACAAGTTCTTTTGGCAGCTTGAACTGGGAGGCAGGACCGTTGCATGATCCCATGTTGCCGGATGTTTACTAAACCTGCAGGCACCTCTCCTTTGCAAGAGAACTTGGTCTTTGGAAATGAAGCAAGTTCATTCTTTATTGTTAAACAGATTGTTCACGAGAGTTCCTTAGCACAAAAAGACATGTTTAATTTTTAAAGAAACTTTTTTACTGTTGAATCAAGAATTGGCCGCTACCCCAGTCATTTTTCCCCTTAAAAGTGCTGGGACGAAGTGCACCAGTGAGATATGTTAATGCCCTTGAAAGTGAGGGGAAAGGAGGAAATCAAGACTCCACAGTGTGGGACCTGCCTACAGTCGAGGGAAGTGCTCTTCAGCCAGCTGGTCAGCTTGACCTCAGCAGGTCACATGTTGTAGCTCTGATGTGTTTGAGAGAAACAACCTAAGTTGATGGTCGTGGTGGGCGGCTGTGTTTGGCTGGTGTGAGCACCATGGCTATGGTGGAGGGCGGCCTTTGTTCAGTTGATGGCACGCCAGTAAAAGCCAGTTCTTTAGGCGAGTACCCAGGTCACTTAGGGAATCAAAATGTTGTTAGTCAGGGTCTGGAGCACCCAGGACCCTCTTTGTTTTTCTTCAGCTTCCAGCATGTTTATCCTGTCACCTTGGAGTGTGACTCAGCAACCAAGAATTCTTTCATCAACACTAAACTTACAAATTGTGCAGCAATTCAGTTTATATAAACTTCACCAGTCTTTCTTCTTTTATCGATTATCAGAGAGAAAGAGGAAGGGGGAGAGAGAGAAACATAGATTTGTTGTTTCGCTTATTTACGCATCATTGGTTGATTCTTGTATGTTCCCTGACCAGGGGTCGAACCCACAATCTTGGTGTATCGGGATGACACTCTAACCAACTGAGCAACTTGCCAGGGCCTAAAATAATGTTCTCTCTGCCAGTGCTAGGAGTCGGTAAATAAGGCAAGAGTCACATGGGCTGTCAATTCCCAGGAGGGTGGAGAAAAGGGACAATCCAAGAAGTAGGAATCACGTCTCACAGACCATCTGCGTGGCTAGTTCCCAAAATGGGAAAGTCGTTTTTAATGCAGCCTGACTCCGTCTGTGGTGTGATGTCCTGTAACCTTCGGCAGCGGCCCAGGGGTCACAGGCTGTGGAGTCATCAGACCGTCAAGCTCTCCCAGGAATAAAGCACCTGCAGAGCTTGTGACCAAGGTTTGGGCATGAATGGTTCTGCTTGGGCTTCGGAACATCTAGTTGAGAGGTTTCCGCTAGTGTAGAGTTTAGGTCACATTCATTTATTTTTTCCTTTCTGTTAAATGCAGTAAAATTGAGAAAACTTTCTAAAATGAAGTAATCAAATGTCAGATCATTGATGCTGTCATAAACTACTCACCAGGCACTGACTGGCACATGATGGGCAGAAGGCACCTGGCGGGCAGACGGTGCAGACTCTGGTACCACCTGTGTTCCTGTCCTGGCTCCACGCTTTGAGCTGTGTGACTTTCAAGCCATCTTCTTCATCTCCCTGGTCCTTGGTTTTCTCCTTTGTGACCTGGGTAGTAGCACCTGCCTCCAAGGGGTGTTTTGAAAGTTAGATGGCTGATCACGTCGTGTCCTTCAGACAGCCCATGTTCATAGTCCTTCTTGTTTTTGTTCATCGTGGGTTTAAATGAACCTAGAGGAGCTTGAACAGTTGAACTGTCTGTCCAGTGAAGGATGCACTTCCCGTGTTCTGTAAGGCTAACTAAAAATAGAAACCAGCACGTCACTCGTCACCTGTCTACACCTTTCTGCCAGCTCCTGTCACCGTCATAAACATAGGTGTGGTTCGAGGCTGTTCAGGAAGTACCTTGAGTCCCAAACGATATGGTTTCATTTAGCTTCCATTTAGTTCTGGCTTTATTACATGAGCATCAGAGATTTTGTCCTGTAAGATCTCTACTTCTTTGCAGTGTGTTACATTTTCCTTTGTGGCCATTTTCTTGAGTGATTTTTGTAAATATCCTGTTGGCAGAAAACTGCAGGGTCTCTGAAGGGTGTAACTTTTCTGCTTATCTGTGAAACAAGGCGATGGTTCTGTTATTTACCTCTCCCACACCCTTCCTTAAAACTTTCAAAGTTAAAGAGAGATGTAAGAATCTCCTTCAATATTTGCATTAATTTTTATTAACTCTCTAAGAGATTATGTTTTGTATATCCAAATAGACGCTAGTATCTGGTTCTATTTTCTTTGTAAATTGTTTCTTTTGCCCATTTATTTTAATTATTGTTTTAACCTAAAATTCACCTGGTCACCTGCTAATAACACCTCCACCCCCGTGTGCTGAGTTTGCACTCGGGTGGGGTCCTGGGTGGGGCCCACCACCCTCCTAGGTCCCTGGGTCACTAGCTCAGACAGCCATGCTGACCCCTGCTGTCTAGCGATGTCTTTTTTTTTTTGAAGGAGTTTTACATCATGATGTTAGAAACCTGTAGTTTATGTTGATGGTGGGAGGGACCAGCCATTGGAGCCGCAGTTCTCAGACTGGGGCTCTGTGACCCTTTCACTGTGAACTTAGACTCCAAAGAGATCCTGGTTCTGTTAGTTATATCTATGAATCTTTACCATATAGAAGTTAAAATACTTTTAAAAATATTTCTGTTTATTTAAAAACAAAGGTGGCATTTTACATCTTTGCAGACCTTAATGTGTGCTACATAGAAGACCCTCAATCCTCAGGTCTGCCTCGAGGTTGCATGTCATGAAGCCCCCGAGACACATCATCACACACCTACGAGGGTGAGAGTAATGACAGTGTCTGGTCCCACTAGTGTATCAGTGACACTGGAGAAGCAACTTTGACTTTGGGTTCCTGGGCAGCAGCACTCTGAGAACTGCTGCATTAGAGTAACTCTAGACTCTGAGAGTAACTCACTTCTTGGGTGAGAATAGGGCTGTGAAACCTCCCTTTCCTCATCCCTTTGAGGAGCAGAGTAAAATGTGTTTGCAGGTTCTGGTCTGTTTCCCTCATGCTTGAGTGTCTGAATCAGAGGCTGGCTTGGGGAGGTTTTGGTAATTAAACAACTCACACAGCTGGGCGGTGAGTCTCTTGAGCGTCCATCCTCAGAAGCCCAACGGGCTGCAGACACATCTCAGGCACATCGAGGTCCAGCCTTCATTAATTCAGAATTAATCTCTGAATTCTTTGTCTCTTATTGGTTCTAAACGTAGGTGGGAGAGAAGGGGCATTACTCAGCATTGTCATGATGGTCAGACAAGGACATTTAAGGACACATAGCTGATAGGGGAAGGATTAAGGAGTAGGACTGATGCTTCAGCCGTGTGTTTCTGCAGGAGTGTGGGTGGGCTCTCATCTGGTCTGGCCAGTGCGCTGCAGGGCCGTCTGCAGTCACTGCAGGTGGGGAACACTCTACCTAAATGTGTTAGAAGTGGCCGAAGGATTTTCCCCGAGACTACATGTGATTGTCATGGTTACAGTGCTACTGTTGACCTCAGCCAGCATGGCTCTGAGCATGTGAGTCAGCGTCTTTTTTCCTCTGGAAACAGCGGAGGCAACGGGGAGAAGTGAAGGAAGGATGAAGGCTCCACTTGCAGACGCTAGGAGGCAGTGTCACCTGCAGATTCTAAAGTACCTGTAAGGCTGCCAGACGTAGCCAAGGTTGTGCAGGAATTGACAGGAAGATGTGAGTGGATCTTTCAGACTCAGGTCAGGTTGGGCAACACCAGCAGCCACACATGTGGCTCAGGGACGGCTAAGTAGAACACGAGGCGCCCGTCCCTCCTGTCACTTGTTCTCCACTGTGCTGGCTGTCGTTCACTGTGTTTATGTTTCCATGTGAAGTAGATTTACGCTTAGCTTTTTCCCTCTTTCTTTTAAGCTATTGCAGCTAATTGCAAAATCCCAGTTAACTTCATTGAGTGGTGTGGCACAAAAGAATTACTTCAACATTTTGGATAAAATCGTTCAAAAGGGTAAGAGGATGACCGATCTTTTTCATCGTCTGAATCTTAATGAAATTTAGTGTAAGGAGAGGGATTTTCTTTTTGGTCCCCCAGTCTGAGTGTTGTCAAACAGTAATGTCTAATAATGTGATAGTGTCTACACAGTTGTACGGGGTCCCTCAGGTCTTCACTCTCAGTGACTTGTTTACTTTTTTAAAGTTTCTTTTGCATACGAGGGGATCTATTATAATAAGAAATACTTTGTTGTAATATTCTAACAAAAAAGAAAAGTGGAAAGATACTTTACCTTTTTATGGTTAGCCAGTCACAGGTCACTTTAGCCGTGTAATGTTTGTATCATCATGAGAATTGGGGCTTAGTTGCTTTAGCATCAAATAAACCTGTAATTTTCTTTTAATTTAACATTTATATTGATTGATGGTGTCTAATAAGTGGAACTTTTATGCATATGCAGGTAGTCCTAAGAAATGTATACACACCTTAACAGCTGATAGCTCAGTTTTGAAAATGAAATGTATTTTAATAAATACTGCCTTTATAATTATTCAAAGTGTGTGTATACGTTTTTGGGGACACCTTGTATATGAGTTTGTGACTGTGTATGGCCATTTTTAAACATCAGTTCTTTTTGTGACAAATGTAAAGAAGATAGAGACTGATAGTTTAAAGTCAAAATGTATATTTGACCCCCAAAAAAAGTCAGGAAACATTTAAAAATTTTTTTTAATTACATCATATTTGCAATATCTCAGAAATGCCAATTTGGGGTTGCAGTGAAATTAGATTATTGTTTTTATTGTGGCAAAATATTCATAGTATAAAATTAACAATTTTACTTAAGCTTAAGTGCAGAGGCATTAAGCACGTTCACACTTGTGCTACCATCACCTCCATCTCCAGAACTGTCTCATCTTCCCACTAAACCTTTGTCCCCATTAGGCACTCACTCCACCCTCTCTCACCCCTGGCACCACCATCTCCTCTGTCTCTGTCTAGGTCCTCACGCAGGGAGAGTCACACAGCGCCTGTCCTTCTGTCTGGCTCCTTTCCCTTAGCATCGTGTTTTCAGGGCTCACCCACGTGGCAGCATGTGGCAGGACTTTCTTCCTTTCTGAGGCTGAGTGACAGTCCGCTGTGTGCATGTACCACATCTTATCTGTGAATGACACTTGGGGTGTGGGACTCGGTCCTTTTTAACAGGTGGATTGTGCCCATTGTAGTTTTGCTTGTGTTTGTTCCAGTTCTTGATGACCACCAGAACCCTCGGCTCATCAGAGACCTTCTCCAAGACCTGAGCTCCACCCTCTGCATCCTCATTAGAGGGGTGGGCAAGTCCGTGCTGGTGGGGAACATCAACATTTGGGTTTGCCGCTTAGAAACGATCCTTACCTGGCAGCAGCAGCTGCAGAACCTTCAGATGACTCAGGTATGAATTTATCACGAAGGTCATGACCTCTTCTACAGACTGTCACAGCTCTGGGAGCGATTCTTTTCCTTACCCTTCGTAGTGCTAATCAAGTTGGTTTAAGGTGTATATAACCAGAGAGCCTCTAGTGGGCTATAGTTGCTGCTGGGAAGGGCTGATTCTGTGGGCGATGAGGCAGTATACTACTTCACCTTTAAAGGAAATTAGGTTGTTTGGGCTCAAATGACATAGTAAATCAGGGCTCCGTTCCTGCATAGTTCTCCATCCCCTTTGCTGTTGCTTTTGCAGGATGAGCACTCCCGTCCTTGCTCTCTCCGCGTGGGGGCAGATGCACATGTTGCTGACAGGGACTGAGCTGATGCATATGGCAGTCATGCCGTCACGTCCAGAACTGTCCCCATGGCAGGCCCCATGTCACGCGCAGCCCAAGGCCCTGGAGGAGACAAATGGGGCCTTGACGCCTCTGCAGTGTTTCTCTGATGCACTGAGAAAGGATTTCCACAGCGAGCACGGTGACAGAAGCCATGAGAGGACAGAGTGAAGGCGCCCTGTTCCCATTCCACACCCCATGCTCTTGGGACCAAATGAGGCATTAATTCCTCCACTAATGTCCCTGGTCCAGGGGCATAGAAGAGAAGAGGCACTAGATGGGAGCCAGCTGTGTGCAGGGCTGATTGTCTGGCCAGCTGGGGAGACTTCTGCCTGGGCAGGAGTACGGGGCAGGGGTACGGGGCAGACGCCCAGCGACAGCAGCAGGCGACGGACCAGAGCTGGGTGGGACCAAGCAGATATCTACTGTCTGTCCATAGGAGGCTCTTGCAGACAGTGAGGGACAAGGTATGAGCCTAGGCTGGCCTTCTGTCCCCTGTATGGCACAGGCCCCTCTGACTGCCCTCTGACCAGCATACACATGGTGTCAGCTTTCCTGAGGGACGAATGTGTTCACTCACCAGCTTCTGTGAGGGAGGGTGTGGCTCATAAATTTGAAATCACAGAGATTTAAGCTAGTAGGGACCTCAGTGACAGACTAATCTATGTCCGTGGACACTGGGCTGTCCCGGGCCAAGAGCAGAGGAGCCCAGAGCCCATTGCACAGCCTGACCACGTCTCAGTGGTCTCCTGACGAGTCCTCAGCACCTGACATTTCCCAGGTGTCCCCTGAGTGTCATTGTCCAGTAAATGAATCTCGCTCGTGCAGACGGGTTGGGGAGGAGCTGTCACCACTGAGCAGCCTCATGCCACTCTGGCTCCTCCTCTTGCTGGCTGTCCCTATGTGGCCAGCACCGCCTTGGCTGCGGAGAGAAGGGCGTGGGGTCACTGATGCTGGATTCACGCACCACGGAGGATGGGGTGCAGGGTGGTGTTAGACCAGTCTCCTTGGCTGTTAAGATTCTGGTGCCTGAGGCGGCCGTGGGTCCTGTCCCGGTTCTCGCAGGTGAACCAGGGCCTCACGCTCAGTGACCTGCCCCTGCACATGCTCAACAACATCTTGTACCGGCTCTCCGATGGCTGGGACATCGTGACCCTGGGCCAGGTGAGCCCCATGCTGCGCACGCTCAGCGAGGACAGGCGGCTGTGGAAGACGCTGTGTCAGTATCACTTTGCTGAGAAGCAGGTGAGTGTGGCGGTCCCTCCCAGCCCCACAGGTGCAGAGCTGCAGCATCGGAAATAATCAGAATTTATGAAGATTGCTGTGGTTTCCTTCCATAGCTTGTATGGTTTATTTTTTGTGATACTTAAAAAGAACTGTGAGTCTAATATAACCCAAAAGGAAACAGAACAGGACCCAGTTTTCTTCCCTGTGTCGAAAGCGTAGTGTGTTGCAGTCACCGGCTTCCTGTCTTTTCCCCCCGTATGGTGAGTCAGATTCAGTCCACTTGTGTCCTCTATAGTCTGCCGCCTCCCTGAGCCTTGGTTTCTCTGACCAGCAGGCAGCACGCCGCTCTCCGCTTCCTCCCTGCGTGTATTCCTGCACCGTCAGACCCAGCACAGCCGCCAGGCCCCTGCTTTCCTGTCCTCCAGGGTTAGAGCCTGTTCTGCCCTCTGACCCTCGGGTATGGGGTGAGGGCAGCCCCCTGTGCCCATATCAGATATAGAATGTGTGTAACTTACTACGTTCTTAAATTTATTTTTCCATTACAGTTGACATACAGTATTATATTAGTTTCAGGTGTCTGGCTTAGTGCTTAGACCTATTTTTAAACTTAATAGTATATCATGGGCATCATGCCAGATCCAAATACTTAACTCTGTGTCATGGCTGCATGGGTCCCCTAGTAGGGACACGTGGTGTATTTGATTGGCCCTTTTGATTTGATCCAGGTGAGTTTAATTCCAGCAATTGAACATGTCATGCACTACCTGCCTCTTTTAATAGTTTTGCACCTAACCCTACGCTGTGAAAACCATCCGCTGATTCTGACAGAACTGTGTGTGTCCAGTTCTGTAGACACCTGATCCTCTCGGAAAACGGTCACGTCGAGTGGAAGCTGATGTACTTTGCGCTGCGGAAGTGCTACCCGGCGCGAGAGCACTACGGGGACACCCTGCACTTCTGCCGGCACTGCAGCACCCTCTTCTGGAAGGTACCACCCCCAGGGCGTGGGTGTGCAGGCTGGGGCGGGGCAGTTCTCTGTACTTTAACCGCAGTGGTTAAAACATGGGAAATTCTGTGTGATGAGAGGGTGATGGGATGTCTGTCACCAGACACCGGGCAGGGGTAGGTTCATGAATGCAGAACGTGTCCTGTGGTTTGAGTCAGAGCTGTTGAAAACCAGACGTTAGACCACTGCCCGCCCTTGGATGACTGTCCCCCTGTGGTGACTGCAGCATGTGGGGGCATGTCCCGAGGGGCGTGAGGTGGGCAGGCCTGCCTGGTGCCCTCAGGCCCCCATCCTGGGCGGATGCAGCTTCCTGGCTAAGGGCTCCTCCCACCCTTACCCTGAGAAAGAGGAAGACCTACCTCCGCTCATCTGTTTCCCCAGACCTGGCCTTCACCCCGCAGCCGTCCCGGCTGCCGTCTGGAGCTTCTAAGGGACAGTCCCACCCTAGGGTGCCTCCCAGGGCTTCTCTCAGCTCCACACATGAATCAGAGGCTTTAAAGTAAACATGCATTTTCTCATTTGGTCAACACTTAATCAGACGCTGACTGCTTATCAACAAGTCTAACTCAGTGAGAAACCTAAATGTGGACACTATCTGTGGCACTTTCCCTGTTCAGGGTATTAGGAACCCTCCTCCCGAGACTCCCCTGTTCCTGCCTTACTCTCCACTGTCTATGTCTGATAAAGACAAGTTCCCCACGCTCAGGCAAACTGCTTCACACGTCAGCTTCGTCTCTCCTGGAACGCTGTCCATGCTCTGCCTTGGGTTAGGGTTAGGGCTAGTGCTGAATGTGCTCGGCGTGATATTTCACTGGGAAAAGGGTGACACTGGGAAGGCTGGTGTGAGCCTGACCCACGGGCATCCTACAGGCCCACTGCCCCTTCCTCGGGGTGGGGCCTCGGCCTTCTACCTGGAAACACTACAGTTGTTTGTTTAGTTCTGTGCCGCTTAATGACCTGAACACCTTTTGAGAAAGGTGCCATTGGGTGACACTGTCCTTGTGGACATCACAGATCCGATGATCCAGCTGCCAGCCTGGACAGCGTCCTGCACAGAACAGTGGGAGGTCAAGTCCAGCACAAGGGAGAGGACACAGCCCAGAGACACGTGGTCAGGAGGCGACGAGGCTGCTGCTGGCGCCACACTCGCCGTGTGCAGCAGACTCTGAGGATAGAGAGGCCCTGAGGATAGTGGATCCCTCGCTGTCACTGCCACGCGTGGTCATCCTCAGTGCTGGGCCTGGTTCCCACGTGAGCGGAGTTTCCATGGTGGCTGATGGGACCACGACAGCCCCGAATGACTTTCCACATTCTCCAGGGCTAGCTCTACGTGGAAATGTCAGCTCTGCCTCGGGTCCTCCCAGGGAGCACCCCGAGGGTCAGGGGTTACTGCACTCGTGGCTGGTCAGTTGAGACTCAGAGGGAAATGAAGCGTGGGTCCTGCTCTGAGGACCGTCTTTGAGGGGCGTGTCGTGGGGGCATTTGCTGGTGTCTTGCGCTGTCAGTAACACTGTTACTGCCCACGTGTTACCTGGTGGTTTCGGTTGTTGTCACAAATGGCGTGTGTCAGCCAGCTCCTCCTAACCTGTCTCCTTTCCTTCCCCTGCTCTCCTTCCGATCTGTCTGCACACCTCCGAGGACTGCCGCCTTGCTTTGCCGTTCAAGGTACCCGCACCTCTCCACGCGCCCGGCTCGAGGCTAACCCTGCCGTGCCTGCCCTGCCTGGGACCCTGCGACACCCAGGGTGCAGCCTCCGCTGCCAGGCGCACGGCCTGCACCTGTGACTTGCAGCCAGACTGCAGCGGTCGGGGTTATTTCAGCCACCACAAAAGGGTTTTCTTGAAACACCTCAGAGTCCTGCACTTGAGCGAGAGGCCAGCCTTAGGGGAAGCTCCAGACATGCCCAGTGAAGTTCCTTCTGGTAAAAGGCACTGGACAGACCTGGGTGGTCATGTCCCAACCACAGCCACCCAGACGCTATGCTGACGTGACGTGGCCTCTGACTACCATGGGCTGTGACCTTCAGGCTCCTTGTTCTCTTAGGTTCACCAGCCTCCTCACACTAAACCCAGTTTTCCTGTTCAGTGCAGTCCTGGGCCTTCAGTTGCTGTGGGAGCACAGCGGGGTTCCAGGGGCAGCCGGTGGGGAGCATGGCCAGGATGAGGGCAGCAGAAACCCCAGAAGTTTCCTTCCTCTAAGCAGGGCCAGCTGCCGGGGACGGACTCTGGGCCACCTGTCTGTCCATCTACTAGAGCAGAAATCTGCTGGGAGGTTTCTGTACTGAGACGGCCTGTGCCGTTTTCATGACTCTCCTTGCCTTTGAGACGGGTCTGCGGGCCCTTTAAACCAACAGCCGGTGTCCGATCTGGGTAACCCTCTCCCTCCTCCCACAGGACTCGGGACACCCCTGCACGGCCACAGACCCTGACAGCTGCTTCATGCCCGTGTCCCCACAGCACTTCATCGACCTCTTCAAGTTTTAAAGGGCCCTCCCCATCATCTCGTCAGAGCTGGGCCCATGGGTCCTTCTGGAGCTGCAGCCAGTGTTCCTGTGACTCAGTGCTGCCTCAGGCCGGGCTTCAAGCTGGGACGAGTAGGAGCTGCTCTGTTCATCTTTGAAAGGCGGTAAGGGAACCCAGGTGAAATCACTTCAGCTTCCTTCTTTAAGAAGTTATTTTCTTCTGAGCATATAAAAATTTGAAACTGCGTATTTACAAATATGGTTCAAAAAGGACTCTGGGTTTTGAAGCCTGTGTTCTGTGCTGAGTTGACAGTAACAGCCATTAACATGCTTGACTGTCACACGATATTTTCCTGGTTTTGCAGTAATTGTGGGGGGCAGGACGATTAATCCTTGTAAATACATTGTACAGAATGTTTATTTTTCTTAAGATGTATTTTAACCACATTGGTTGTGACCAAATGACTCTTCTAAATGCAGAATGACCCTAGGGAAATATTTGTATGTCCGTTATGGTGTTTAGTAATTGGTTTGTGAATTGTGCAAAGTGTTTGTGACCAGCAAAGGTATGAGTTGTGTGGCCGCCCTCCAGGCCACAGCCTGAGACTGTGCAACGTGCTGCCTGGGCACTCTTGGACAGACGCCGGCCGTCTGGGTGTCCTCAGCAGCCCTGGGGAGGGACAGACAACTACTGAGAATGACAAGTCAGCAGCGGCCTGGGGCAGCCTGACTTCTCTGTACTGAAACTGCTTTTATAGACAATAAATCATGTTTACTGACTTCGTCAGTTTTGCATCTTGTTGAAAATGTAGTGTTAGTGATTTTGATAACATTTATTTAACACTTTGAAACCTTTAAAAGACTGCTTTATTTTTAAAATAATGTGTGTCCATTTTAGAAAAGTTCTATAAAGGTGTATAAAAATAAAATCANCTTCTATAAAGGTGTATAAAAATAAAATCAATTATAATCTTGCCACCCAAAGGAAACTGCTTGCAAGAAAGAATGTGGATATCACCCCTAGGTAGCCATAGGGAGAGAGTCACTATTGTGTGTTTTCATCTGTGCTTGGAGTTAAGCCTCCCAT